GCTTGTCAAGGTGCGCTGCACCTGCCTTCTGCGATCCGCAGACAGGCCGGTGGGCAGCGGAGGCTCCTGTGGCCGGACTGTGCCGGCACTACTGTGCTCTGCACCTGTGTGAAACGGGCGCAGACGAAAGGGCCACTGGCCCTTCAAAACTGTGTCCGAACACTGTTCGGGGGGCACTGGAGAACGCCGCTGGCGTCACTACCAGTCGCGGTAGTTCCAGCGCCGGTCGTGGTCCCAAGACCAGCGACCACGGGACCACTGGTCCCGGTCCTCGTCGTCACGGCGGGACCTCTGGTCCTTGCCTTTGCCCTTGCCCTTGCCGTCTCTGCGGCGGGCCTCCCGATCGCGGTGCTCGCGCTCACGGGCTTCGGCTGCCTCGCGCTGCAAGGTCAACCGAAGGGACTCGGGCGGCCCCCTAGTAGGGCGGCGCTCGCCCCTGTACTCGAGCTTGCCGTCTGTCCGCGGGACAGTGCCTGGGCAAGAGTAGTTCTTTGCGCAGCGTGGGCAATGCATCACGCCGCATTCTGGACACTGCCAGGCCTTGCTGCGGCGATCGCCTGTAAACTGCCCCACAGCGCCACTGGCGCTAGGCTGATCATAGGCATGCACTGCTGCCTTGAAGGGGTGGAGGTCACCGCATGCACTGCATACGAATTCCGACGACGGGTCGCTCCAGATGTTCATCTGCATGTTGTCGCAGACTGAACATGCGAAGACTCGCTGCAGCTCCGCCGCTGGCGGACGCTCCGCCGCTGGCGGGCGCTCTTCCTGATCGTCTCGATCAGTGTTGTCGTCTGATGCCGGGCCGCTGGCCCGGGTCCCAGCGACGCCAGCAGGGTTGTTGCGCGGGGCCTGCTGGCAGGGACGCGGGCGAGAGCTCTCCCCACGGCGTGCCACTGGCGGTGGGGGAGGCCGCTTGTTTTGGCGTGGGGCGGCAGCCTTCGCAGGCGCCGCTGGCGCCTGGTTCCTTTCGACTGCCGGCACTGCCGGGCTGGAGGACTTAAGCGCCACCTTGCCCTGAAGGGGAGGGTGCGGTTGCGCTGGCGGTGGCGGGGAGTCGCTCTCCGACTCCGACTCCTCCGAGCGGGAGCCTCGGTCCTCTTCGGTTTCATCCCGCCGCCCGCTGGGCTCCTCCACGTCCATATCCTCTGGCGCTGCCGAGGGAGCTTCCGCTGGAAGCGGTTCTTCTTTGATGCCAGAGCCCGCGTCCTCAGCGGGACTGGTCGGGGAGCGTTGTCGCGAGGCCTGCGCTGCAGCCGTCGTAAGAGGCAAACTGTCCACCGCGCTGCGGTGGCCGTCGGAAGAGACACCACGTGCCGCCACTGGTGGCTCGGTGTTTGCCGGCACCACTGGGGGCTCGTAGCCGAGCAGAAGTCGCTGAAGCGCGACTGCATTGGCTTCTGTGCCGCCACTGGCGGGCTTCGTCCAACCAGCGAGTTCCGCTGCCTCTGCCGCATTCACCACCACGTCCCCTATCTCTGATAGGGAGACGGCGGCTTCGTAGAGGGCGGCCCGCTGGGCCTCCGGCACTGCGCTGAGCGCCTGCAGCATCTGCTCATTTGTCGGGTTCGCCATCGCTGATGGCAGACAGAGGCTTCCGCTGAAAGCGGGGTTGTTTTGGGCACGGGGGGGCGACTTACTAAGCTGAAAAGGCTGCGGTGTGAAAGCACTGCTTGAAAACCGACACGGTTTAAGAAGCTGACTCAGCTGAGGAGACCTACCAGGCTCGCGTGACACACGACTGAAGAAGACTAGCGGCGATCTTTTGCCGCCATTGAAAGCATGCCGTCGGCCCGCCGCTGTGGGCGAGGTTCCAAGTACCTCGGAGACGCCCGCCCTGCAGAGGCTGCCGAGCTGTCGGCGGTGAACCAAAAAGGGGGTGCACTGCACCGACGGGGGGCGACTCGCTGAGAGGCCAGCAGCTACGCGCTGCACTCAGTGCCTAACGGCGGCCGCCCCTGACGCCGCGGTTTCGGGGTCGCTGACCCCGGCTGCTGCGATAGCAGTTGTCGCATTCGTGATGATTGTGGGGGCTCCTGCCCACTGAGCAGTGCCGCCCACAAATCGCCATGCCCTGGGAGATGCAGCCCTGCTGCGCGCACGGCATGCAACACATGAGGTCGCCGCGCCTCTCCGGGTATCTCTCCCATCTCTCTGAGTTGGGGGCTGCCCAGTAGGGCCATTCGTGCACGTCTGTGACGTGCAGGTGCGGCGAGACCCTTCTGGCGTGCGCTACTAGCGCACGCAGGCCGGGGTACCTGTTGTCGGTCGCTGACCCGAGGTTACGCCAATCGTTATTTTGGGGGTCCTCCCCAGGCTGAAACTGCCAGCCTCGCTGGCGATTGCGACGCTGCGGTCTGGACACGACCACAGTGTTCGCGTTCGGCGCGAACGGCACTGCCGTTGCGGCCTGGCTGCTAGCCAAGGATACCTCGGAGTCTCCCGAGTTCTGATCACTGTCAGTGTCGATAACTTCAATGGCCGGCTCCGCCGCTGGCGGGGCGACGTCGGCAGCTTCGGCTGCGGGCGGGCTGCCTGTTGTGGCCGAAACGGGCTTAGCAGGAGCGGCCGCTGGAAGCGGCAAGGGAGGGTCCGAGGCTGATGCCGACGCTGTCGGCAGAGCAGTGCTGGACGAGGCGGTGGGGTCGGTACTGCCGCTGGCAGTTTTGTGAGTCTTTTTCTTTTTCTTCTCCGCAGGGAGAATCTTGACCCAACCGCCCTTGCCTTTGCCCTTACCCTCTGGGTGCCATTGGAAGCCGCTGGCTTCCACCTTAGCAGCCACGTGGCCCTCTAGGGCATCCACCCAATTGAGTCTCCACTGGAGCTTGGGGACATTATCTTCCTCCCCACTGGGGGGCCAGTCAAAGAGGCCGGTATACGGCCAACCAGGCGTGGCCGCTGGCCGCATAGGCACGTCGCGCTGCGACATGGTATACCGATGCATCGGATAGGCACTGCCTGAGGTGTCCGGTTGTTCCCCTTGCATCTGTGCAAAAGGGTAGAAGGGGGGCCAAACTTTGGATTCCCCTTCCCCTGCTCGATTGAGGGATTCGTGGTCGTCGCTGACGACCGCGGGGTCTACCCGCATGGCACAGCTAATGGCCCAAAGGAGATAACTTATCTCCTGTTGTGCCATTTCTTCACGCATGGCCTGCTCTAGCACAAATATTGGATTGCACTGCAAAAAGCGGAGGCAGGAGCGACACTGTCGCACGCGTTGCAGGCATTGTGGCGCTGCCAACTGATTTTCTCGACCGTCCCTTCTAGGGTACGGCGCCTCTGGCGACTCAGCCGCATAAGTGCGGGCTGCTTGGTCAACCATAACTGGCACTGACAGTTATATCAAAGGGAGTGGAAGGTCGTCGCTGACGACCCCCACTGCTGCGGAGCACTACAAGCTACTCTATAAAAACTTTTTGGATCACAGATCCAACTCCAAGCCGAAAGCTGCACGGCAAAGTTTGTCTAGTGTCACTCACACACAAGTGAAAACACTGTTTTCCTTTTTCGACAAACTTTGTCTACACTTTCGGCGGAAAATAAAACCCATTCACGCACGCATGATGGATGCGTGGAAAACAAGGGCCGTACGAGTGAGGCAAATCGTTGGCAAAGTTGTTGCGGGAAAACTGCAGTGCTTTGAGAGAGCCAGTTGCCCTCTGAATCCTTTGCGCCTCGCACATCAACGTGTTCAGCATAACTGTGATTGCAGACAGCGGCCAGCGACTGCAGCGGGCGCCAAGAAGATGCAAAAAGCCAGTGTTTGTGCACTGAGACGCCCACAGAACAGGCTGGCACCACAACCACATCTGCTGAAATGCGTTTTAAAAACTCTTGCACTTCATGCGTGAGCCAGCTAAGAGCGTTTCGAGGCTGTTCGAAACTCACGTGTCCGCCTGCAGAGTAGACGGCATCCAGGATTGCGACGCAGCGAACAAGCAGGAGCTTGCTGCTATCGAGGCGCTTTCTTTCAGAGTCACTCAAATTAGGCAAGCCCTCCGGAAATTCAGCCGACCTGATAGGAGTTGGGCCTCCATCGGCATTCGACTTGATTCGACTGAACTCAGCACATGCCGGGCTGGCGTGAGCAAGTTGAACCAGGCCACTACCGGCCACGCGTAAGATGTTATCAAAAACCGCATCATCCAAGAGGTTGCAAGAATCAGGATCACGGATGATATCCACCGGTAGGCAGCACACACCTTGGGACGCCAATTCCGCTGACAAAGGGCATGCAGCCCCGGAGCAAACATCAAGGAAAAGTGCGGCTGGGGCGTGCGGTAAAGGAGGCGGGGCCGGGAGCTCCACAGGATGGCTGGCCGAAGAGGCCTGAGGCACTAGGGCAGGCGACCCCTGGGAGCCTGGCAAAGGAAAACCAAGCTCGGCGAGCTGACCGCGAGCCTCAGCAGACATAAGCTCGACACCTGGTACGGAGTATCCTGTTATAGCCCATCTGGGCCCACCCTGCCAAGGCATCGTTGCGTGAGGAATCTCACAGTTTTATTCCTTATTTGCACACCGGAATCCAATATGTTTTCTATGGAATATATATCCATATAAATGTGCGAAGGTCCCTTGCTCGCGCAACTCTATTTTTCCACGTGGGATGCTACACTCCGTGCCGTCTTCCTTCAGACGGCTAAGGGGTAGGCTCAAAAATTCTGGGTCGGGAGGGCGGGACAAGTTTTCCCCGTGCCCACACTTGAGAGGAAAGTCGCCGGAGCCACCTTCATCTCACTGCCCGGAAAACTTGCAAACGTGATTCCTAATTTCAGTTTAAAACAAACATGAAATTTGTGCAAAACTGAATAAGGAGTTCATCCTTTCTGCTTCGGGAAGTTTAAAGGAGTAAACTCTTATTCCTTATTTGCACACCGGAATCCAATATGTTTTCTATGGAATATATATCCATATAAATGTGCGAAGGTCCCTTGCTCGCGCAACTCTATTTTTCCACGTGGGATGCTACACTCCGTGCCGTCTTCCTTCACCCCGATCATCTACGGCATGACCTGGTCCCACGGAATAGCACGCCTTGCAGCACCTCTTTTTAAAAGAGGCTCAAATTCCAGCCGTGAGGGATTGTCTGCTATGTTGCAAGCAGTCGGTACGCGAGCGAACCACGTCTTCAGCTGCAAAGTGGTTTCAAGCTGAAGGAAAGATTCAATCACAGCATTGGCGAGTGAGCCACCGCCAAAGGTTCGGATCAGAGAATGGCGAGCACCATCATTGTCAAGATAAAACACCACTTGAGCTCCTTTCAAGCGCTCTGCCCAAATGACAAGGCTGATCAGTGCTGGAATCAACTCAAGCTCGAAAATGGGATTTGCGCTGATGCTCAAAAGCTGCTGCATCATATCACTTGGAACTGCCTCACCGAAGAACTCGCACGGAGTACCAGAGGCATTCACAAGGACGCCTCCGACACCTCCCGTGCCTTCCTCTGGATTGCAAGCCCCGTCAGTGAAAACGATCAGTGTTGTGATGAGGTTTCGCTCGACAACTAAAGGTTGGCTCAGGGCTATTCTTTCACGAAGCCACGTCAACGCCCACAACAAATCTTCAGTAAGATTCTGAGGGGCAGACTTTTCCACGCACTTTGCAACAACTCGCTGAGCCCGGTTAGAAACCCTTCCAAAGGTGAAACCCTCGAAGAAAACCATACGACCCCTAAGGCGTTCGGCCGCCTTCGAGTCGATCTTTCCTTCCTGAAGGATGGTTTGGATGTACTCGGTGAGCTCCTCCTTTCGCTTCTGAGTATGACCCACACGAAGGATCCGCTGCTTCACACAAGACAGATCAACAGAGAGGCCGAGCATGTTGAAGGTAACTCCAAAGGGTTCGGCTTTGGAGCCGTCCTTGGCGAAGCGGAAACCAAGCAGGTCAAACAAAGTTTCCACAGTCCACTGGGCATTCGATTCCAGGCTCTTCGCAGAAACTATGCTGTAGTCATCGAAAAAGGCAGACCAGAATAGCCTGAAAAGGACTATTCCAATCTTCCACAAGGCGATACTTATCCTTAGGAAAGCAGCGACCGACCCCACCCCTCCAAAGGGGAGGGCGTTTACGCCCAAGAAGCTCGGCTTGTGGTGGCCTGGCCTGTTGACAGCAATGCGTAGCCTTTCACGGTCAGCAGCACACACACCGAATTGCTTGTACGCTGCCGTAAGGTCGAAAGTTCTGCCGCAGCACTCAGGCATAACACCGGACACGACATCAAAGGCATGAGCCATCATGGCCGCAAGCTTATCTATCGTATGCAAGCAAAACTTTTCCAGCAAGCCCACTGTCGCGTTTAGGCCGCAACAAGAAAGGTCATCAATGACCCTCAATTTGTTCTGCATGATTCCGAAGCGCATAGCAATCGAGACCATCTCAGGAACCGGCCCTTCCTCAAGCCACACCCAACCTGAGTCAATCTCCTTTTGGGTTTCAACCCAGGTGGATTCTTCAATTTCGGAATCCTGCCTCCTGGACAGCTTTTGCAAGGTCGCTTTGTTCAAGCCCTTCGACAAAACTCCCAACGTCTCGACACTGAATTTGGGCCGTCTGGACCTCGGCACAAACTCACCCGACGCGGGAAGCCAGCCCGACAACTTGAAACCTTGGCATATATCAGAAACAAGGTCGACATCCTCACACCCTGCGGCTCTCATCATCTCTTGGAGAAGCAATAGCTTCTTTCCTTTAAGTATGGGCCGCAGGTGATCAGGGAGATTTTGGTGAAGTTCCTGCTCCTTTTCCTTGAGGGCCCCTGCACGACCAATCCAAAACTTCATTGCATCAATCCTGAAGGACGCAAGTTCTGCCGGAGGAGCCTCAAAGTTAGCACGTGCACTAACGGTGACGAAAGGCTCAACATGGACTGCCAAGGACCGTGGGTGGCCTGCCGCAATAGCTCTCGCAACAAAGACCTCTTCAGAGCACGGTACACCGACTTGCACAAGCTCTGCACAAGCAGGCGGATGCAAAGGGTCCAAGCCCACGATGTTTGTTTTTGGCTTGCCAACTCCTTCGAGGAGACTCTTCAGCGAACCCCACTCACACACACGTCTCGAGAAGATTCTGGAGCCCTTTGGAAGGGAAGAAAGCACAGCTTCCAACGGCTTGTCACATTGCACTGGCACAACGAAATCCAACGTAGTGTCAAACTCCCACACAAGCGAAGGCAAGGAGTTTCCCCTGGGTTGAGTGCCCAGATTGATCCTGGCGACATTCGCAGAAGGATCCTGTATTGCCTGCGCAAGCACACGTGGCCCGAAGGACAAGCTGGGATGCGCATGAACGATGCAACCAAGGATACGATCGACGAGGAGCGGGGGAAATTCGGGTTCATCTGCTGTGATGAAGCTCACCCGCTTCCTTTTCGAAATGAAAGGTCGCCACGGTTTGTGCTCGTGCGACCCGTCACAGCGACCCGCAAGCATGCCAAAAACGTCCTGTGACGACCAAAGCTGCATCAACTTGGGCCTGTGACCCCCATGCACACAGGCATGAAATTTCACAAAGTGACCCTGCACATGATTGGTCACCTGAGCACAGAAAGAAGTGTCCCAATAACGGCTGTTAGAAGGACTCTCCAAGACTGTCAGAATGCCAAGATCACAAGCCTCACATGCAATGTTTGCAAGCTGATCAAACAGTTGATTTGCACGCTCAACCTGGAGTTTATCACGACCACGCAAAGTCGGCAAGCCATCCGGATGCAACGCCGACCTCAAAGCATTTGGCATCTTCAAATCAAGTTCAACAGAACCCGGCTTACGGCGTTCACGCATGAAAGATGCGGTGCCCACCGGAGGTGAGATGAAAACACAGATGACGTGATGATACTCAACTCGCAAGAAATCGACAACTGCTTCAGCCTGAGCTGGATCACTCAAATCCATGATGACAGCTTGTTCACCAGCCCTCTTTCTAGAGGAATCAACTGCAAAAGGCCTGAAGCCTAACTTTGCAGCTGCCTTACTAAGAACGGCTGTCCCAGCACACAACTCGACGAAGTACATTCCCGCCGCCGACTGCCGGACACTGCCGGCATCACGCTGCGACGGCCTAACAGGGGAGAGGCACCTAGGGTCCCAGGAAACCACAAAAGGGCCTAAACCCAACGGAGACACAGAAAACCCGAGCCGCTCAGCGACAGCTCGTAATTCAGGCCGGAGCTCCTCGCACTGACGCACCGAATAAGCAAGCATGACAACTCTGCGACCTTTCCACGGCCTAGTCTCATGAAAATCTTTAGGCTTTGAGAAAAAGGTGGGGCCTGCGGCCACATCAAGCAGGCATCCCTCCAAAGAAGGGTCATTCAACGAAGCGACATCACCTCCAACCTTCTGAAACCAAAGTTCACCGTTCTCAAAGTCCGTCAAAGGCACCAACAATGTAGGGCCATCACGATTGTTCTCGTCGCGGTGCAAACCTGAGGCAAGATTTTCATGAATTGCAAGTGAAGAGTAACTGAATGCAGGGCACACCCGACTCACAAGCAGGTTGAAAACCTTGATAGAAAACGGGAACATGTCCATAGTCCTATGCAAACCCAAAATCCCGCCACGCCGGTAGACGCCCATGCTGAATCGGGCTCCACCCGATCCCTGAAATGCCCTAGGAGGATTTTGCGCCTCCTGAGGCAAAAGCTCCAAAAGATCCAGAGCTGCACTGGCTGTCAAGCACGACGGCTGCCGCAAGAGAAACTTCGCAAGAGCTTCAGGATCAGTGAACTGCGGCCTATTTGGGCGAGGACTAGAACCAAATTTAGGGGTATCAGGTGACACTGCCATTGGCACTTCCAGTCACTTCCAGCTGACCGCTGGGCTTGGGTGAAATTTGCGCCAGGCCTTCACAAGGAGATTTCCTCGGCTCGACCTGCGACTTCATCGAGGCAAGAGCCCTCGCCTTCAACGCTTGCAACTTCTCTTGAAGAAGTGTTTTATCATTCAAGATTGACCCTTCCGCCGGTCCCCGCACCTGCTCAAGAGCACGGTACACCAACGGCTTAGTCTGCTCTCCAGCGGCTGCTGCACCAACAGTGCAGTCCTCACTGTGAGAAGAATCGTGCAACACAACGGACGACAATGACTCAGATAGTCACTCTTGCGCCTTGGCTTTGCACGACACTGCTGAATGCCCCGGCCTATGACACTTCGCACAGATGTGAAGGCCGCGGACACACTTAAGCCCTCCCTTGCACTTCTCAGTCTTAAGAGAGCAGCCTGAAGCAAGATTGAAATCCCAACAAACATTTCCATCTTCTGTCCTGCAAGAGTACTGCTTCAACTCTTCTGGCACAGTCCTACGTGTGCGCGCCTTCGCCTTCGCCTTTGCTTTTGCCTTGGCCTTCCCTTTCGGGACGGGCTGGGAGGAACTCTCCGCCCCATCATCCACAGGCACTGCCAAGACAGGGGCTGTCTGCTTCGGAAGCGGCAACAGGAACTGCTGAAGACGGACATCATACATCATTGCTGAAAACTTTGCATCAAGCGGCGAAACCCCGAGCGAGTCCACCTTGAAAGGAGGCGCAGCCTCCCTGGCCAAGAGCAGAAAAAGCTCCTTATCCGCACGCATGCATTGATTCAAACTGACTGGGCTATAACTCGGTGGCGGGGTTGCTGAAAGGCAATCCAGCATCTTCTGAACCCACCTCTGATGCACATCCCAAGATAGAAGGTGACAGTTGTCAAAAGCTATGCCTCTTCGCATCATGGCCCACTGAAAACGCAGAGGATCCGAAACATCACAAGCGATAGCCTGGTCACCAGGCCCCACCTTTATGACGTTTTGCTCCACCTGCAACAAGGAGCTCCTATCCTTGCCCAATGCAAGGACCTCAGCTTCCCTCTTGGCACATTTCGACGCAGGGATCCAAGTAAGGACTCCGGACTCGTATTGCTGATTTGCTAAGTCAAGAAGCTGATGCGAAGGCTCAAGCTCTCCAGAAATTTCCATTCCTGAAAGTCGCCGCCTCTGGAATTCCAGCCTGGCCCGTTTTTCAGGGACCGGAACCTTCCTGGTATGCGATGGATCAGACGGGTCGTGGGTGACCATGTCCCGGTAAGTCTGAACCACTAGAGTCGTGGCTTCGAAGTGCAGATGCCGCAAGATTGCGGTTTGCCCCATGGTAGGAGCAGCTCCGTACACCTTCACACTGAATTCATCAAACTGAGCCTCCGTAGGCGGCTGCTGAGGCGACCCTATCGCGAAAGCCAATGTCTTGAAGCACCGGATGCCTTGTGCCACCAACTTGGTATGCAGAGTCGCATCCTTCGAAGCTTCAGCACATCTCTGATTAAAGGCAGCCTCGCTTTCGATCACGGTCGACATCTTGGAAACCTACGTACCCTAGCAGCACAAACCTACAACGTGAGAAAACGCAATCAAACACCATGCAAATCTCTCACATGTTTGCATGCAACAATCTGCCATGGATCACATCTCGGGCCTCCGCGAGCAAACAAGTCAAAGCCTACTCCACGGCGTGCGCACATGCGAGCAGAAAGCATGCAACTGAAGACTCGCAAACAAGGCTCACTTCGGTTATTAGCCGCCTCGCTCAAACGTTCTTGTTGCAAATCCTACACTTGCTGAAGTCCCACCGGAGGTCCTCTGCCCGTATCTTGACATGCAGAGATCCTATGGCCCTTCCGCAAGCAAAAACCTTAGTGTAGCCGGTAGGGGCAAAATGCACCACTCTCGACTTCTCGTGCCTCCACACATCATGACCCTCAGGAACATTCACTACCAGCTTCGAGAACGGCCCCTCAGCCTCCTCCGCGCACGAGTCGCTGGAGGAAGAGTCCGTAGTGATATGCCCGGTGGCCTCAGCGTCGAGGGCTTCCTCATCGCCTGCAAGGTTTTGAGCAGCATCATCCCCTTCGATAGGAGAGGGCGGGTCATGTTCCTCCTTTATCACAACTACCTCTGAACGCTGATGCGAGTCAGCGGCTTTGCCCACCAAGCGCCCGCTACGAGTCTCATCTGGGAGAAAAACTCGATCCCTTATCTCCTTGATCATCCGCTCCAAGATCATCAAAGGAATAGCTGCAGAATCACGGGAGTATGTCAGGGCCATGCGGTGCGGCGTCGTGTGATATCCCAACAGCTGCCTGTCGACAATACTGATTCCCCTCTTTGCCGCATAGCTCAACATGGTACACTTGCAGCTATGCGATGATAGCTTTCTGTCAGCTTGCTTCGATCCAGAACCCGTTAGCAGATGTCTCAGCCACCTGCCCATCTCCTCAGTGTCCAGCGGCCTGACACTAGCAGCACCAGACTTATCCGGCGCCGGCATGACAGGAAATTCCGGAGGATCTGGAATGTTGAGTTCCTCTCTAGCAAGCTTCCACAGCCTCGCCCAGTTGGAACCCGCAACTCCCAAACCAGGAGCCACCATAGGAAGCAGATCGTGCCGCATAACTCGGCTCCTCATATTCTTATGGTACGCCACGGGGCACTCCACATAGGCAAGATTCTTCTGGTTGTCATAATCATAAATAATTCCTTCTGCATGCATCAGGTCTGACCATCTTGCCCGCGAATATACACACAGCAAAACTGCTCCAGCGAAAACGCGGTCCCAAGGGTCCTGTGCGTTCTCCAGCCGGTCGTGCAGAAGGGAGAGCTCATCCACCGTCAGCGGCGAAGCCCTGTTCCTCGGCCTCACCTCGCCACGGCACGCATTGCCAAGGCAACGCCTGCTCTTGACACATAGGTCCAGCTCCTCTACCCCCAGGACGTATCTGCAGAAAACCACTGCTTCATACGTAGCCTTTCTCGAAGATAAGCTGGCACCCCCATCCCTTTCAAGACAGAGGAACATGTAAAGCAAAATCTCGTTTGCAGGGAAAACCAGCTTCTTCTGACGAAGGAAAGCTTCATACTTCAAGAGACTCCTTAACCTCTTGCGAAGTGTGCCCGGGGCCTTTGCACCCAGCACATCGTAAGTCATGGCCTTCCTTTCATCGTCAGTGGGAAGTTCGCAAAGCTGATCCCGCACCTGCACACCTTCAGACCATCTGCCAATGAAAACAGCCCAAGCACTGACCGCTTCCAAAAGCTGTTCCTCGCGCTGCTGCTTCCACGATGCAACCACTCTGTTAACAACGGCCATCTCGAAAATTCTAGTGACGACCCTTCCCGCCCTCTGCGGGTTCTTCGAAGGTTGCTCCAAGACGCCTTCTGGGACGCCAGGCTGCAGAGGCCTCTTGAGGCCAGTTCCATAAAACCCACGGAAGGAATCCTCTGACTGAGGGGTAAAAATACTTCCCCAGAAATCATTCTCCCAGACTTGCTTTACTTGAGGAACATCCAAAGTTTGGAAGGCTGCCGCCATCGACCTGTCCAGATTTCTAGCAGAAGCAGCAGAAGAGCCTGCCGCCGCAGACGACAAGCCCCAACCAGGAGCCTCCGCCGGAAGGCTCACTGAACCCTCTGAAGGCAGAGCAGCACCATCTTCCGACAAATCAACTTTATACCAGTCTCGTTCCGCAGCGGAATTCCCACAGGACCAAACATCTTCCTCGAAAAGATCTAAGTTTGCAGAAAAAGCCCCATCAACGGAGTTTATCTCCAGATGCTCCCCGCTTGCCACACCTGCGGCCTGAGAGGCATCCTCAAGGGGATCGCAAGACAAAGCATTGTCACCAGGCTGCCCCGAAGACCTTCCATCCACCCCTTTCCAAAAGAATGTCAAGGGCAGACCATCTTCGGCATCGGAAGGCTCGGCTTCCGACTGCATCAGCGGAGACCGAAATAGCGAAGCCGAAGGCGACGCGCGTCGGCAGCCGCAAAATCCGAAGTAGCCAGTAAAATGACTCGGACAGCTCTGTTGACGCAGAAAAGCTCGTAAGAAAAGTCTAGGCCCAGGAAACGCAGCACCAAGCTATTCGTACGCGAAGCGCCCAGCAAATTTTCGAGGTCCAGCCCTCGAATCTCACTGCGCCAGTCCCGGACCTCTTCTTCCTCCTCGAGAAACAAGAGAAGAAGGCGCCGATGTGGCACCGGAGGCAGCTCGCGACGGCGCGCGGCCATCCCTAGCCGACAAGTTTTCCCCGTGCCCACACTTGAGAGGAAAGTCGCCGGAGCCACCTTCATCTCACTGCCCGGAAAACTTGCAAACGTGATTCCTAATTTCAGTTTAAAACAAACATGAAATTTGTGCAAAACTGAATAAGGAGTTCATCCTTTCTGCTTCGGGAAGTTTAAAGGAGTAAACTCGAATGCAAAAGGCGCTTGCCGAGTGCACACGGTGTGCCCGTACCGAACTCTGCCAAAGGAGTCACGCGAAGGAACTGAGCCGGACCCCGAGAGCCACAGCTCTCCGCCTGTGAAATCTCCGAGGGAGACTGAGAAGTTCCGGGAGCCAGGCAAGTTGCCGGCGTCGGAATGGACCCTTGTTTGCACCGAGCGTGCAACACAGATGGAAGTCCACTCTCCTTCGGGGAAGCACGACAGCAAGAAATGATTCAGAAAAATGCAGCTGACCTTGAAGGCGTGAGTTAAACGTGTGAGGCCGACTTGACCAGACCCAAACATTGCCCCGAAATTAAAATAGCCCGCCCGCTCACCGACCACTGATGAGCGGACGCTCTGCCTGGAAAATGAAAAATGCTCTTGCAAGTGCTGGAGGCAGCCAGCATAATCCGGCTGAAGAGTGCATGCAGCCGCTGCCGACCCGTCCAGAAGAGGAGCGTCGGGACTGTCCGCGGCCAAGGCCACATTGTCTGCGGTAGACGCTGACTGGGCACCTACAGCAGAACCCGGGGATGGGACATGGAGCGCCTCAACTCCACCGCTGCCCGTGCAGGCTGGCGCAACCGCCTGAACCGGGCCCCCTCAATGGGGGTTTGATCTGTGGGATACAGCCGAATGCTTGCCCCCACACGCCATGCCATCCGACCTGGGCACATTGCACACATGAGCGAATCTGCAGTCCGCACGCTTGCACCCTTCCTTGGTGTTAAAATCACGGCAGATGGTGAGCACCTGACCTGAGACCTTGACTGTATCGGCACGCGAAGCCGTCGACTGCTTGCCCTTTCCAAAAGCCTTGCCCATAAAACCTTTGCCTTTGGATCGGCCTCCCTGCTTGCCTGGGAAAGGGCGCTTCCCTTGGCCCCCGTACGGTTGCGGCACCCCTGCGGGCAACGGCGGACCGGAAGCGAGGCGAGGCTGCAGGTACACATGGAGCGTCATACGTACATCAATGATCTCGGCCACGGCATCTCCTAAATCCCAATCATGGTAGGCGTAAAGCTCGTTGATGGCCTGCCATGCTTTTTCATCTGCAGTAATGGCTTCGCTCACCGTGGGACCTCGAAAAGCGGATTCAAGTTGCGGGAAGCACAGCCGCAAGAACGACTGCACATAACGTTTTAAGACCGACAGGTGAGCAGCCTTGCACAAGGCCAGTGCCGTGGCGTGCATGTTCAAAATGCCTGAAACATAGCCGTACTGGAGGACATGTGGCACCTCCTTAGTCGGTACATCGTCGAAAAGAAGGCTTTCCAAGCGAGGCATTTTCGACGGTCTGGACAGCTGATGGGCCTGCTCTTGCGCCACGGACAAGCGGTGCTTCCACTGTGGCCACTTCAGAGACTTATCCGAAACACCCCTGTACACGAGTGCCATCAACCTGGAACCCGGGGTTTCCTCCAGTGACAGAAGCTCCGAAGGATAAGAGGACAGGAAGTCCTCGCGCATGCCCTTCCACATAGTGGCGCTGAGCTTGGCAGGGAAAGGGTCTGCCCACGAATCGGTCTTCCCACCTTGTGCGGGCTCCTCTGGTGATTCCTTCTTTGAAGAGGAGCTGTTGACAGAAGCGCAGGCTTTCCAGAGCATTCGAACCCTAGCCTCGACAACGAACTGATCAGCACCCGCGTTTTCCACGAGACTAGCCAGGAAGCGATCCAGGCTCGCTGCATCCGTTGCCACATTAGCAAAGATCTCTGGCGTGAAATCCGCAAAGTGGTAGTGCAGCGCCTCGGGTATGTTATGCGAAGCAAGAAGGGAGTCCATCGTCGAGACCGAAGGATCTGGGTCCACCGGCAAAGCACCTGCGCATTGGATGGGGACATCACAGATATGTAACCAGCTGACTTTGCCAAGATCGGTAGAACCCGAAAGCCAAAACCGCGAAACCCGGGGCCACAATGTGCCCGAAAAGGATAAACCTGCAAAACTCGTACTCGGGTACCCGGAAGACCTCACGAGACCAATAATGGCAAGCTCTTGTAAGGCGAAAACGGACTCAAACCCTGCAGCCCCAGCTCAAAACCGCAGCCGGTGAGTCCACAACGTTGTTAGGAAGTGAGTGAGCGTGA